TTTCCTTTTATGGCATCACCTTAATTCCAGTGACTCAACCCAGAAACCTGAGTCATTTCTGACTCCCCCTCTCCTCACCTCCCACACGCTCAGTCCCCTTGCTCTGTCACTTGTCTTCTTCCATTCTAGTTCCACTTTCCTTGGTTCAGGACCCTGCATTCATGCTTTCCTTCTGCTGATTTGTCTTGCATACTGCCATTAGATTTGGGGTTCTAAAGCTCTTGTCATTTTGCTGTTGGTCAGAAACGCTCTCCATTGGCAATTAAGGATTTTCTTAAACAAATGTTCGGGACTTTTTATGATCCAGTCTAGTCATTCACATATGTAACCTGCCATAGAAGAATAATCTAAAAAACATGCTAACAATACATGATCCAGAGCCTTACCCCCCACCTCCACTAAATCAAAAAATCAAAATCTCTCTCTTCTTTTTTTTTTTTTTTTTTTTTTGGCTGCACCACTTGGTATGCGAGATCTTAGTTCCCTGACCAAGGATCAAACCTGTGCCCCCTGCAGTGGAAGCGTGGAATCTTAACCAGTGGACTGCCAGGGAGGTCCCTCAAAATCTCTTTTGGGATATATTTTGTACAGGCTTCCCAACCGATTCTGAAATGCAGATAGCCAGAGTACTCATTGAATTATAGCCTTATCAGCCCTTCCAAGCTCAGGGCCTGTTCAAACAGTAGTGCTCCTGCCAAAATTGACTTCTCATGATGTGTTCTTTCTTCTTATCTCACTGTTTTCCTTACCTTGCCTTTTTCTACACTTTCTTTTGCCCTAAATGCCCTAGTCCTTACCTCTGCAAGTGCAATCTTCTCTTATATTCAAGACGCAACTAAAATGTTTTCGGTTCTCTTAAGTCTTTTGAGAACGGGCAGTTAGAAGTTTGACCTCTAAATTCATGTAACGCTTGATCTATGCTTCTGTTTTGGCACCTGTGGCAGGTGATCAAGGTTTTCAGTGTACAGTCTTACTACTCATGTACCCGGATCATGTACTCAGTTCCTGGAATATAGCAGGCACTTGGGAAACGATTGAATGAACGAAAAGACAAATCCCAGTTCTCCCTCTCTCAGGTCATTGCTACCCTTCCCGCATGCCACAGAAATGTCTTCATCTACTTGATGGCGTTTTTGCAAGAACTGCTGAAAAATTCAGCAAAAAATCATTTGGATGGTAATATTCTAGGTAAGCCGCCAAGTGTGTGTGGAAAGCATCTCTGCAGACTGACTCATTAATAAGAGAAATGTGGTTGAGGAATGTCCCAAGTCCACTGCAGTAGAGCTAAAATCTCAAGCTCTGGGCAAAGTTTACTCTCGAATAGTTATTTTCGAGCAGAAAATACTGCTTTGGGGCACCCCTCCCCACTCCTAAGAACACGAGAATAAGTAGTGCTTCTTATGCTGAATCGTATGTTTTCTGGGTTTTTCATACAGCTAGCATATTTGGTAGCTTACTGCTTCGAAACCCAGCTGGTCACCAAAAGCTTGAAGTGGCAGAGAAGAAGAAGGCTCAAGAATTTATTCACCAGTTCCTCTGCAGCTCACCCTGAGCCTGTCCATCTCCTCTCCTATTCTGCCTGAG